AATTTACACAACTACAAAACTGAAATGAACGAATCAATTAGAATTAAAAAGCAGGTACAGGATTCACAAAACTTTATTCATTTAGAATTAACAAGCGGTTCACATATCATCTAATATAGTTTCACAAGCTTATAGAACATGGATTATTTTTTGAAGAATTCACATTTGACTGGCATGAAGCTTATAACTGTACAATATATTTTCTCTGCAAGTCAACAATAAGCAGTCTGAATTATCACATAAATTTCAAAAAAGGTTTGAGATTTTTAATAATTATGAAATACTAGCACAGTAAGATTTATTGTTTACAGTTTAAATCTGTTAGACCATTTCCTTTAAAATAATGAGCTTCATTTCACATATGAGCTGCAATTATATGACATTCCAACCGCTACCATTAAAGCCAGACACAGTGAACACACTGGTGTATTTAGTAGACCTGTGATGCAGGTCACCAGAAACCGCGCATAACTCCATGCAACAGAGTTTGGTCTTCACAATGGATATTTTATGTAGCTCTTATAAGATGTATGTATTCTAATAAAATTGCTCAGGTTCATAACTGATTTATCTGCATTCTGGAAGTAACCAGCTCTGAGGTTGTAGGTGTGAGTTGGTTTCGACAGTAGGAGCAGCCAGACCAGAATTAAAATTTTTGCTCTGGGGAGGGCCGGCCGAGTGGCTCAGTTGATTAAGAGCTCGTTCAAGAGTGCCAACTCTGAGCAACAGCGGTTCAATGCCCGGCCCGAGCTGAGCTGCCACTGAACTGCCAACAAGTGGCAGGATGGCTCAGCTAAAAAAAAAAAAAAAATTTGCTATGGGTAGTTCGGAAGGATGGCAGTCCTTTTTCTGTGATTATAGAGAGGTGGGTGCAGCTGTATACAATAGCCCTGCTCTCGTCATTCATTTGCTTTTTATGGTTCTTATGATGCAGGTGTGTTTATGGGACCCTCAAATATACCATTTACCTCACAAGCACCGACTGCATTTCAAGGTTTTCCATCAGTGGGCATACCTGTGCCTGCAGCTCCTGGCCTCATAGGAACTGTGATGGGACAGAATGCAAGCATGATGGTGGGCATGCCCATGCCCAATGGCTTTATGGGCAATGCACAAACTGGTGTGATGCCACTGCCTCCAAATGTGATTGGCCCCCAGGGAGGAATGGTAGGACAGATGGGTGCGCCCCAGAGTAAGTTCGGCCTGCCGCAAGCTCAACAGCCCCAGTGGAACCTCTCGCAGGTAAGGGTCATTTACTCTCCAGTTTATCCAGAATCAAAGAAACCAGATTCATTTTCTAAGCAGTTTTATTGGTATTTAAATCTAACACTCTGGCAGAAAGAACTGAGTAGGGATAATGTTGTATAAGGTCAAAATTGTAGAGACTATGAAGTTATCTCAGATAAGTGAGCTGTCATTGTCCCTATATTTAGAGTATTCTGTAAAGAAATGGTAACCATTTTTCCATTTCAGATTATAAATACTGTAATGGTGAACATCCCTAATCTGTCTGTAACAGCTAGAAATTACCTTGGGCATCTTAAAAGACTCCCTGTCGCCACCTTTGAAATTAGCAGCAAGCTTTAATCCAGCTCTCTGATAGAGTGTTTTTGTAGTCCTCTTAGACCAACCAACCTGTCTTCACTAGTTTGGGTTTGTTTTGTTTTGTTTTGTTTTGTTATTTTTTTTGGTAACTTTCAGAAATTAGGAAAAAATCCAGTGTCATATTCTCAAAGCACTGTTTCGTGAGGGATCTAGGCTCTTAATGTCATGTGGCTACTGCCCATGATTTATTTAAAAAAACCTTTTTTTAATAAAAACCTTAAAGTATTCCTTTTTATTCATCCTGTAATTATGATTATCTTTCAGAATAATATCCACTAGTTCAAGAATTCCCATAAGAGATGAACAAGTCCATATTTGTCTCAGACATCCCTTCATATAATGAAAACCCTCTTTTTACCTAACTTAGAGCCAAGAGATGACATTTTAGTATTACCTCTTATAAATCATTTCTCTTTCAGTTGCTCTGTTCTGACTTTTCTCTGGCTTCATAGAAAGACCCTTAGAATCAGGTTCACGGCGGGCTCCTCTCCCCTTCACATCATCTATTTGATGGTCCTCTAGCATTTGGGTGATCTTGGCCTCTGTTCTGGACAGCTGTTTCACCTTGACAGCATTCAAGGAATAGTCTGTAGTGATTTCTAACTAATATTAGCAAAATCACTGTACATCCCATGAATGCTCCAAGTTATTTTTATTATCACTATTTAAAGGAATATCTTTATGACATTGGTCTCTGCTCTCTGGGAATCTCAAAAATAGTATGTACTAAATGGCAGTAACAACTTTTGTGTAGCGATAATGCTGACGCACAGCCAGCTCAGGCTGAGATGCTAATGAATCAGTGAGAAGTTATCGTTGGCCCTACTTCCAGGCTGTTCTCCGGCCCCCTCCTTGGGATCTGGTGGATAAAACATCCTTTAGTGCGTTGCAGAATGATCTGCTCCTGCAGACACTTATGCCTCATCAGCGATGTGATTACGTTAGTGTCTGAGAAACTATAAACAAATGAACTTTATTAAGAATACACTCCAACCCTGAGCATAGGTTTTGAATCTATACTTTGTGGTAAATCCTGCCTTTCCTTTACCTGTCATCAATCTTAGAGGTAAGAGAGCCACAGAGAAAGGTTAGGATGTTTAACACATATATGACTCTAGTCTGGAGGAAAAATACATGTAAACTTACACCTTAGATCATATAATAATAAAAATGAATTTTAGATGTTTATGCCGTTACCCTTTAATATTTAGAAAGTACATAGAGCCATTTAAGATTTTAATAAAGGCAGAATAATAGCTATTAGGCAAATTTTATAATTTTGGAATATTATACTTTTAATATTTAGTGTTAAAGCACGAGTATAGTTGAAAATTAGACTAGTGGACTCATCATGTACCCAGATACAAATTCAAAGATTGCTTTGGTGCTTTTTTTCAGTTGTGGTTAATCTTTGGGGATAAGAAATTGAGTCTAGAAAATGAGTAAATATGATTGAGATCACTTTATGGACAATGCTAAAAAGTGGAAAGAAATAAAGAACAAGAAGAAAGGAGTACCTCTTTGCCTTCTATAGAAAAATAATTGTACGGTCTGCTTTTACCCCAGGGCTTTGACTGATTTTCCCATTGATAAAAAATACTGATTGTAATTGCTATTAAACACCGGTATCTCTTTGACTGAATCAACTTCAAATAAAGGCAGCTTCTAATAAAATAGGGTAACTATTAAAAATGTCTAACTGTGGCTAAACAAACAGGAAGTAAAAGTGAAGTAAGTTTCTTAAACTAAGCCTTTTCCATGTCTCCCAGATGAATCAGCAGGTGGCCGGCATGAGCATCAGCAGCGCGACTCCTCCGGTGGGTTTTGGCCAGCCCCCCAGCACAACTGCGGGATGGTCTGGAAGCTCATCGGGCCAGACGCTCAGCACACAGCTGTGGAAATGAAGCCTGCAACACAAGTTTCATCCAGAACTGCCACCTGACATTCCTTGCTAAAACGCATCTAGTTCCCCTGTTTATTCATGTACATGGATTTTTTCTTTTCCACCATTTGTTCATATTAAGAATTATCTGATTGACCGTGTTGGTCTGTACTGATTAAATTTGATGTGGTGAAAAGCAGGTTTTATGTCCAGGGCAGCTTTGCTTGTATTTCCCATGACTTCATAAGACACATTATTTCAGAAGCTGCTCAGTCAACTTGCATAATCAGTTTTACTCTCAATAAAATTATAGCTCTAATGTTTGCATATAAGGGAAATAGTTATCATGTTAGTAATACCTCTAACAGTATAAACCCCACCCCCAAATTAGCCAGTAACCCCGTAGGAAGGTACTGTATGCTCAGATGTTTAATCATATAGACTGTAAATGTACCACTGAGCACTTTTTCCTAGTGGATCAAAATTCTTTTATTTCATCATTCACTTCATTGTGCTGTTGTTATGATGTGCTTAACAGGGAACGTAGTTAGTGAAAGGAAGATAAACCTGGATGATACTATAAAACTTAGAATTCAAATTTGATCTGCTTCCTTGTAATTCGGATCTCTTCTTCTGTACGCAGTGCTAACGTGAAGACCTTTCTCTGCACTATATGCAAACAGGGTAACTAAACAAAGCCACTTTGAATCCATGAAGGTATATCCAGGTTTATGACAGTAATTGTGTTTACATTTTATGGTGCCTAGTATTGACAAAATGTTCTCTCCCTATATTAAACAGATGAATCCATAGACCTTTTTTTTGTGGGTTTTATTTCCTACAATGTATACTGACACCACCTTACATAAATTACTTAACGTTGAAAAGGGAGGAATTGGGGACATTTAGTTAATAAAAATACCTGTCATCTGTTTCTAAAACCTGTTTACATCTACTAATGACAAGGCCAAATGGGAAGAAAAGAGAAAAGTACATAAGATACTCAGAGTGGCACCCTGCAGTGTCTGTATTGTACAAAGATCTTCCAGTTGTAGAGAAAACATGCAAAACAAATGAAGACAAAAACATACATTTTATATCATCGAATTAGCTTATGTTAAGTGACAAGCTCTGTTGAAACAGATGCCCCTCAGATGTCACTAAAGGCTGTTGCACCGGAGTAAAATGAACAGTACCTGGCCAGCCGTCCGCCAGTTGCTGCTCCAGTTTACACCTCGATCTTCACCGTGTCCAGGTGGTACTTTGGCTCGTTGGTTAGATTCACCTTCTCTGTCCGGGTGTGCCACACAAGAACCTACAGGGGATGGAAAGCTCGGGGGTAGCCAGACTCTTAACGTGGACATTCGGCAAGATCAAGCAACACACAAGTGAAATACACGCATACCTTGGTGCAGTTATTTGCTTTGGGTTCCAGTTCTTCAACTGTCGTTATCTGTTTTAGAAAGTCAGATTCTTGCATCCCTGGCTGGGATCCGCGGCGCTTAAATACAGCTGTTGGATTGGACAAGATGACTTGAAGGCTTACAGCAAATCCTTTGTGAAAAGTTAAAAAAAAAAAATTTAAAATATTGGTGTACTTCTCTTTTTTTTATATAATTTTGGTCACATCAAAGACAATTTTTTATGCGCCTAGGTGCCAGGTCTTGGTTCACACAGTTGGGTAGGAGCATCACCTCTATCACCATCTCCAAAGGAAAACAGGTCATTGCAATTCAGCAGCTCAGTTCTGTGACTGACAGGTGTTTTGGGGGGTGGGGGTGAGGCTACTGTAAATAGGAAGTCTAGTCTGTTAATGAAGAGTGAATTCTGTAAGCTGCTGTTTCACAGGGGTAACCACACCCCCACATTTGACACTGGGAACAACTAAGACCTAAATGGAGCTGAAAAGCTCACAGACTTACCCTGACTATCCTTTGGGAATGAGAGGGCCCACCCATTTCTCATCTTTCTGTATGCTTTATCAAAACAAGCTCTTGATTTACTTTGAGTTTAGAAGACTGAGGAATAGAAGTAAAGTCAGCTAGCTAGAGCATGAATAATAATCATTTGGTTTAAATTTACAATTTGCTCCATCTGAAAAGGGTGGGAGATTTGCAAATTAGTGCGAGAGATACAGGCCATGTAATAAATTTGTATTTCATTTTTCAAAGAAACAAATTAGTGTTAATTTCCTTCAATGGTTTGGTCATATGAAAAATCATTACTATTTAAGCTATAGTTTAACAAACTGTGATAAAGGCTTAGCCATTAAACCCTCCACAAGCCATTTCAGCAAGCAATTGTTACAACCTTCGTAACTGAACGTCTGAAGCCCCGGACCCTGCTCTTAATGAGGAAGTTGACACTAAAGTTAGGCATCCTCCCAGAGTTAAAGCTATAAGGACCAATCCCCAGGAACATTTTTTAGCAACTCTTTGCCCCTCTTCACATTAACTGATTTATGCTACTTTTGCAAAAGTATAGTTAGCAAAGTAAGTACCACGTGATACCAAATAGTAATGGGGGAGCTGTAAGAAAACCACAGCCAGCATTTTCATAAGCTTCAGATGCCGGAGTGGGCCAGACCCTGGCGCCCCTATGGGAAACTTACCACTAAGCTACAAATACAACTTGGTATAATGGGTGCTGAGTGAGGCAGAACAAAGAATCAAAAAACATTAGCCTGGGGACTGGTCCCAGTACCTCCCACCAATTCTGGAGAGAGGCAGCACTTTCTAGCAGAATGAACACCGAATCTGGAATTAGAAGCCTTGTTTTTGCCTGAGTCCT